AAAATATGTGTAACCAAAAAAAAAATCAAACTCATTGCTGTTGTCAATTTCTACTCATAGGGAGCTTCTAAAACAGAGTAAAACTGCCCTGTAGGGTAGGCTGTAATCGTTTTTTTTTTTAATTTTATTGTGATTTGGGTGAAAGTTTACAAAGCAAAATTCATTTTCCATACAGCAGCTCACATACACTTTGTCTCATGACATTGACTGCAATTTCCCACAGTGCAATAGCTCCCCTCCCACATCTTTCCCTTAGTTACCTCTTCCCTGTGTCCTTCCCTCCCATGCACTCCTGACCCCCAAGCTGCCTCCCTGTGCATACACAGCCCTTCTGTTTTCCCATGCTTGATCTCTCCAAAGAATGCATCTACCCAATGTAAATGTTCAGCTCATATGACTGTCTTTTGTTTGGCTGGAAGCCACAGGAGTGGGTTCCATTCCAGACCTGAAGAGCAGCTAGGGGTCATAGTCTCAGGGGTCCCACCAGGCTCTATCAGACCAGCAAACTTGGTCCCCCGTTTTTTTTTTTTTTTTTTTTTATGATTTTGAGTTTTGTTTCACATTGTTTTCCCACTCTATCTAGGATCTCCTACATAGATGTCCCTCCAAATGTTTAACAGTGGTAGTCAGACACCATCTAGTTCTTCTGGTCTCATAGTTGTATAGGCTGAGGAGCGCATGGTATGCTAGTCACCTGGACTAATTCTTTCCATGAATCTTTGGTTTTCTTCATTCTTCTTTGCTCTGGATGAGGAGCAAATCATTGCTTCTAGATGGGTGCTTGCAAGCTTTTAAGATCCCAGTCACTACTCGCCAAAGTAGGAGGTGGAATAATGTTTTTCTGTAGTAAGTTATGCCAGTTGATTTTGATGTCCCCTGTGACTATGGTTCCAAGCTCACAGGTACAAATAGTCACTCATTCTGGGTAGCTGTCTGTGGCCAAGAAGTGACTACAACCTTGCCCCTTGTCAGCTCTACTATATACCTGGGAATTCTTATGGAACATACAAATACACATTGTCTGCCAACCCTATACACAGTCATGGGTACGCTTCCCCCTGCATAGACATTCCTACTCGTTCAGTCTGTCCACTCATCTATCCACCCGTATATCAATGTTTGCCATCACTGAAAACCAGACCTGAAGGGCAGCTAGGGCTCAATGCAAAAGGGTTCATCTTTATTGTCTGTACGTCCCATGCACCTCTCTATGTCTTCGTCTTCTTCAATGACACTGTGTTGATCACTCACATTTGGTACATTGCCCTCCTCTTCACCCAAATCAATACTTGTCTCTACCTATCTAACAGTGTTCCCTCCACTCTGTTCCCCTCTCCTTCCACCCCTAGTAACCAACAAAGAAAATTTCCTTCCTTGACTATTTTACAATAATGGACTAATGCAATATTTGTCCTTCTGTGATTGACCTATTTCACTCAGCATAATGTCCTCTAAGTCCAAGGCTGTAATCTTTACAAAAGCAGACTACCACTTCTTTGATCCATAGAGATGCTGGTAGATTCAAACTGTGAAGTTAGCAGCCAAATACTTTAACAACTGAGCCACCAGGGCTCCTTAAAACATATCTAAGTATATATTTTATATAATATGCAAACATATATTATTCATAAATGTATTTCTTTTTGCAGAATTTGTTTTACATTTAACAGTTGGTGTACATTTGGTTTCACTTCCTGATTACCATCCCCAACCCTAACCCACTTTCCTCTCCTCCCTTTCCTTCTTAGTTATGTACTCCTGTCTGCCCAGCTTCCCCTTCATGTGAATGCTCCATGTGAATCTTATTTTAGGATATACATATATACACACACACACTATATATATATATATAGAGAGAGAGAGAGAGAGAGAAGTCCATGGGTAGCACAAATGGTTAAGTGACTACCAGCAAAATGGTTGATGGTTTGAACCCACCCAGAGGTGCCTTAGAAGAAGAGCCTAATGATGTTTCTGAAAAGTCATATTCTTGAAAATCCTATGGAGCATCTGCCCACATGGAGTTGCCATGAGTTGAAACTGACTTGACAGCAATTGACCACAACAACATCTGTACATGTACATGTATTATTGTTGTTGTTATATGTCGTCAAGTTGGACCCAACTCATAGCAACCCCTCCTTGGGTTTCTGAGGCAGTATCACTATGGAGTATATAT